CTGTGTCCCTCTCTGTCAAATAAATAAATAAATAAAATCTTTAAAAAAAAAAAAGGAGTATGGCTAATTTAAATATGGGAGTCAGGGAAGGTTCCGTCAATTTATTTTTTTCCCTGTACCCATCACCTCAAATACTGGAGGTAATTTCACACATCTCCAGTAATAGAGAGATAGGAATGAATGTATTAGACTTTTAATTTTGGAAATGTTTCCTACTTTTTACCCTCAGAAAAAAATCTAACTTCCATCTATTTAGAGTTTTACAACTTATATTAAAGATAATATTATACCCACTCTTTGCTGTATAACCTTGCAAAGTTCTCTAGCCAAAACCAATAAATTTCACTCTGGCAAGATCAAGGACTATTCAGATAGTACGAATATAAAATATTGCACTACTCTTTAAACTTATGGTCCATTTATATGAAGTCTCATTGCACCACTTCTTGGTCTTTTGGCTAAGATCAAGTGTAGTACACTCATTGCCATAGGTGAAGCGTCTCAGTTATTTTCTGGGGTGCCAGTAGTTTTATGGAATTGTCTTTCCAGTCTCTCTCTCTCTGTCTCTCAAGTTTTCCTTGACCTTCCCGGTCTGAGTTGGGTGCCCCTCCGATAGGCATCCTCCATAGGCTGAATTCCATAGGTAATCTGGGGTGCATTTTTCTGTCAGTATATATGGGTCTTCCCTAACAGATTATGAATTTGCAATGGGCAAGAACTCTGAGTGTTCCTGGCAAACCCTCACTTCCCGGCCCCCAACACCCACAACGGTGCCACTGCTATCAGCCCTGGGGGCCTGTGCTAATCCCATCATGTCTCCCATTTCTGTCAGCCCTGGTCCACCAGGTCATCTCCTGTTCTTGGACTCTGATCTCCACATGGCCTCATATGCTATCCTGGCCCTACATCTCACCATTCCCCAACTTCTGAAACCCTTCCACAGTGACTTCACAGCATCCCCTCTCTACCTCACTTCTTGAATGTTGGCTTCAACTTCTTGCTATAGGGGGGACCCGGCTCTCCCAAAGACACTGGTTCCTTTGCTGATGGTGGCCATTTTCTCTCTCAAGCTCCTCATATCACGAGCCCACAGGCAGGGTGGGTACTGCATACCGAATGTTTGTGGCTCCCCCCAAATTCATATGTTGAAAAAAAAACCCCAATGCGATGTTACTAGGAATTGGAGCATTTGGGAGGTGATTAGGTCATGAGAGTAAAGCCCTTATGAATAGGATTAGTACCCTTATAAAAGAGACCACAGAGAGCTCCCTTGCCCTTTCTGCTTTGTAAGGACACAGGAGAAGACAGTCGTCTGTGAACCAAGAGGCTAGTTCTTACCACACATGGAATCTGCCAGTGCCTTGATCTGGGACTTTCAGGGAGAAATAAATGTTGTTTATAAGCCACCTAGTCAATCATAGTTTTGTTATAGCAGCCTGAATGGACTAAGACAGGGGGTCATCCTTATTACTGCTTCCAGAACATTCCCTCCACCCCTCAGTGCTCCTAACCAACTCTCACTCTCAAGTCATCAGACCTATAGTCTTCTATTGCCTTCTTCTTTTAACATACACACTTGTTTCTTAAGATTTTAGCTCCAGATCCTTCTCTCCTGCACTATATCTGCCATACTTCTTGGTGATTGTTTTATCCTCATAGGTTTTGTTTTTATTATCTGGTCTTGGCTTTCTTTAGATTCCCCTCCTCCAATGACCTTGCCCCATCCCACCTCATGTACTCAGTCCCACGGTCAGCCCTTGGACTTAGTCATTACTAATGAGTGTAACCTGTCCCTAATCTCAGTCTCAAGTGCTAGCTATTAGTGTTACTATTTTTACAGAATTTGTTGAATTGGATTGCTCACAATTTGGATCACCACAGGCAAATGAGTTCCACTCTTTCAGCCCCATTTGCTCTATTCAGGGACTATGGTGTGATGAGTTGAGAGCAAGTATTGGTGATAGGATAGCTGGGCAGAGAAGCAAGAGGAGCTGAATAATGAAGGGATTAAGGGCTTTGAATTAAGCCATGAAGAAAGAGGTAAAGCCTGGGGGCCGGAGAGGATAGAACAATATTCTATTCTGGAAGAAAAGGATGGCTAACCTGCATGTCAGGAGGTGAGATACTGGCTAAAAAACAGTAAACAGATTATAAACTAGAGGTTTTTGGGATCAGCAAGGGTAGAATAGAGAGATTAGAGGCAGCCCAGGGGACACAGGGAGAAGAAAATGTTCCAGAGCACACAGTAGGGGCTGAATAAATATTTGTTGAGTAAATGAATAAATTATATGACTCCAGGCATAGGGTTTTATTGTTTTCTAATCCTGTTTTGGGCCCAGAAGTGCAAGGGCATCACATTTTAGGCAGGTATGGGGGGTGGGGAAGGTTGAGGCTGCTGCTAGCATATTTCTTGTGCAAATTAGAAGTGACTCCATATCTGGGCAGATAGATTAGAAAAGGTTTCAACTTTTTTAGGTTCTAAGCAGCTTTGTGTCAGCAATGTATGTTTTGGATCTCTGCGCCCCTATCTTTGGGGATAGGTTGGGGGCAGGTGGGTAACACAATAATGTGGTAAGGTGGGGCACCTGGGTGGCTCAGTTGGTTAAGCACCTGCCTCAGGTCATGATCCCAGGGTCCTGGGATTGAGCCCCGCATCAGGCTCCCTGCTCAGCAGGGAGCCTGCTTCTCCGTCTCCCTCTGCCTGCCTGTCTGCCTACTTGTGATCTCTCTCTGTCAAATAAATAAAATCTTAAAAAAAAAAATAATGTGTTAAGGTTCTAAAGTCCATTCCTGAACTTTCCCCCCACCCCTACCCCAGCTCAGTAGTCTTTATACTGTTTGAACCTGGGCTCCTGCAATCTCTGAAGCCAGAAATTCTTCTCTTAACATTTCTGCTGTGACCTCCCTTTCTAGTCAGTTGAGACCAAGGTCTAGTTTAAAATGAAGAGTTGGTTGGCTGGGGGTGTAAGGGATTTATTTCTCTTTTTGTTGGGGTAAAAAAAAGGAAAGCGATATGGATTTATGATGGGACTCCTGTTTACTTTCCGTACTTTCCCTCATTTTCAGGATTCACAACGATCTTCCCAGGCAAATATGAATTACATTATTCTTAGGGAGGTCCGAGAAGAGAGTCTGCAACTTGGGCCAGGTGCAGAGTGAGGAGTGGAGTGAAGACTCAGACTCAAGGTATTCCACCGTGCCTCATATGTGCTGTATTTCCTTCTGGTGAAATACACCACTAGCTGTAAACTTGCTGAAGTTAGGCATTGTTTTATTTTTTTCACCTTTGTATCTTTCCCAGAGTTTAGCATCATCCCTGACACTAAGAAAATGTTGAATAAAGGACAGTGGGGTTGAATTGAATGTGCATGAGCAAAGGCTGCTGAGTACCAGCCTTCCCCCTCTGTCTGCTGACATTTTCACCCTGGGCATCAGTCATCACAAGGCTGTCTTCATAATTTGCCTCTTCCACCTTCCCCTCTGAAGGAAATGCTTCTCATGGGAATCTGCTGATCCAATGAGCTGCAGTCATTTGATACCTGAAGAGATTTGGAAACATTCATTTCCTAGTGGCTCCTATGCTTAATAGGGACTAACAGTTTCCCTTACTGTCTCCATTTGCTCTTATTTGGTTCTTGTATTTGGAGGTGTATCCAAGGAGTCTTAAGAAAGGTATATGTGGAATTTTTTTGTTGACCCCAATACAACACTCTGCTAGCTTCGACTCAGGTCATGATCCCAGAATCCTGGGATGGAGTCCCATGTCAGGCTCCCTGCTCAGTGAGGAATCTCCTTTTCCCTCTCCTTCTGTTCCTCCCCCCACTTGTGCTCTCTCTCTCAAATAAAAAATCATTAAAAAAAAGAATTTTGAAATATATAATAAACAATTAATTGTCTGCTTTTAAACTTTAGTTGAGTGATACAATTTTCAACAAACTTTCATTTAAAAAATTTTTTACATTAAAAAAATTTGGAGGGCGCCTGGGTGGCTCAGTCGTTACGTGTCTGCCTTCGGCTCAAGTCATGATCCCATGGTCCTGGGATTGAGCCCCGCGTTGGGCTCCCTGCTCAGCGGGAAGCCTGCTTCTCCCTCTCCCTCTCCCCCTGCTTGTGTTCCCTCTCTTGCTGTGTCTCTCTCTGTCAAATAAATAAAATCTTAAAAAAAAAATTTGGAAGTATAGTTGACATATTATATTAGTTTCAGGTATATGACATAGTGATCCAACAATTATATACATTATAAATGCTTGTCACAGTAAGTGTGGTTACCATCTGTCACCATATAAAGTTATTCCAATCTTACTGACAGTATTCCCTATGCTCTACTTTTCATTCCCATGACTGATTTATTTCATAACTGGAAGTTTCTTCTCAATCCCCTTCACCTATTTTGCCTGTCCCCCTACCCAGCTCCCCTCTGGTGACCACTAGTTTATTCTCTGTATTTATGAGTGTGTTTCTATTTGCTCATTTGTTTTGTTTTTCAGATTCCACAAATAAACAAAATCTTATGGTATTTGTCTTTCTCTGACTTATTTCACTTAGCACAATACCCTCTGGGTGTGTTCATGTTGCTGCAAATGGCAAGGTTTCATTCTTTTTTATTGCTGTTTAATATTCCATTGTGTATATATATTAGTTCTTCTTTATCCATTCATCTATCAATGGTTGCTTCCTTATCTTGACTATTGTTAATAATACTGGGGTAAACATAGGGGTATATAAATCTTTTCAAATTATTGTTTTTATTCTCTTTGGATAAACACCCAAGAGTGGAATTACTAGATCATATGGTAGTTCTATTTTTAATTTTTCGAGGAACCTCCATATTGTTTTCCATAGTGGCTGTACCAATTTATATTCCCACCTACAGTGCCCAAGGGTTCCCTTTTGTCCACATCCTCACCAACACTTGATATTTCTCAATAAACTTTTTTTTAATTAGACCTGGGGGTGGAGCAGAGGGAGAGGGGAATCTTAAGCAGGCTCCATGCCCAGCACAAAGCCCGACTTGGGATTCAGTCTCACAACCCTGAGATCATGACCTGAGCTGAAATCAAGAGTCAGAGGCTTAACCTACTGAGTCACCTGGTCGCCCCTCTCAACAAACTTTTAAATCCACTCCCTGATATTAGCTTTCTTTTGTTTTTCAAACTTGCCTAAGCCATAGAATTAGTAAATGGCAAGGCTGGAATTGGAAGTCTTTAAGGGTTTGGTTTGAAGTTGTTACTCTGTTGCTGTCAGGCTGGCCCAGTTTCTTAGCTTCTATAATAAAAATAGAAATTAAAAAAAAAAAACAAAAAAAAAACCCTAATTTTTGACTACCAGATTCTAGGCTCTATTCTAAGAGCTTTTCTAATCTATAAGTTAGGATAATAATAGTGTTGTCTTGAAGATGACATGTGGGCATTTGTGTAACATCTGTTGGATGAAGGCTGGATATTATAAGTGCTCCATTAGTCATTGTGATTGTCATTATGAATAATTTTGTCTGCCAAGAAATATGACCAGCCACAAAAATGCTGCCCTTGCCATTTCCATTTAAATGGTACTGTTCTGGGACGCCTAGCTGGCTCAGTCAGGGGAAGGTGTGATTCTTGATCTTGGGATTGTAAATTCGAGCCCCACGTTGGGTGTAGAGATTGCTTAGAAAGAAAATCTTTTTTTTTTTTTTT